CCCTCTTTGGAGAAAAAAGAACTCTCTGGCAAAGCTTCCCAAACATTTATCATCTCCCCAGCCACCTTCTGGATGCCTCCTTCTAAGGATTGGCAGAGGCATTATAAACATTCACACAGATCATTTGAATCTCCCTGCCCTATACTCTGGTGGGAGTAATCAAACGTTCAGCTCAGGAAACCCCAAACAGACCAACACAATCAATCACTAATAGAGCCAAAAACAAAATTTAACTAGTAGTCTAAATAGAAGATGGTGTTATATAGGGATGGGCCGAACACCCCCCTGTCCACGGTCGAACATTCAAACCTACCAAAAGTTTGATTGTGAAGTTTGAACAGGGACAATTCACTAAGCAGTGTCTTACAACATCTGAGTATGCAGTAAGATACTGAACTGCTAATAAAATACTGCATGAGTTATATTATTAAGTCATGAAGTATTTAGTAGTGAAAACATTCTTTAACATTTCGGCTGTCAGTGGGGTTCCCCACTGACAGCTGAATGTAAAAAGAATTGTCGGAATTGCCCGGCAATTAAAAAACTAACAAAAAAACAAAAACAAAACACGTGGGGTCCCCCCCCATCCATATCCAGCCCTTCGGGTCTGGTATGGATTTTGAGGGGAACCCCCCCACGCCAGTGGTTGTGGGGTTCTGTTGGCAGGGGGCTTATCGGAATCTGGACACTCCCTTTAACAAGGGGGCCCCCAGATACCACCCCCGCCCTCATGTGTCATGAATCATGTGGAAGGCATGTGTATGAGGTACATGGTACAGCTATCCATTAACAAAAATGACAAGAAACAGTCTTTGACAAGTCCTTTATTAAAAACAAAAATAAAAAAATGTCCCCTGAAGTAGATCCAAAGTCAATCACGATGTCTGCTGCCACTGCCGGCCGAAAGAAGAAAAAAAATGGTCTCGACGCTGGCTCCCGCCGTCTGGCAGCTGCACTGGAATGACAGTTTTTAAATACTGTGATGATCTTACAAGGGGGCAGGGTCACACCTCTGGTCAGGTGCATTACTTTGGCCAATCACAATGCATTGTCAGGGCATAGTGCATTGTGGGGTGTCGCGGGCGAACGCTCTTACCGTTCAAGTGTTCGCCGAACACATGAACGGCCGATGTTTGAGTTGAACTTATGTTCGACTCGAACATCTAGTCATCTCTAGTGCTATATCAGTTTAGAGTTACACAGGAGGTGTGGTTGCATTTACACATGAGCACAGGGACATTATAAAACGTTTACATATTAAATTATTTATTTTTTTAAACTGTATTTTAAATTTGTTTAAATCAACTTTATTGATGTCACAAGGGATAAACATCATCGGCTATCGAACCGAAAAGAATGGTATAACCACCTACACACAAGGCCATATACTGCGTACAGTGGTATTGAGGTTGTTAAATATGTAAAATGCACTATATCACAAATCTCAATCTGTTTTGAAGCAAATAAATCACCAGCTTCTCTAAAATGAGGTTGTATGGTCTTTTTTTGTCTCAAATAATAGTTTTCTGAGAAAAATTAAAACAGATTACAGTGCAAGATATTACAAAAATGCACAATAGTGATTAGCGATGGGCCGAACACACCCGTGTTCGGTTCATGGTCGAACATTCGAGCCTAATGAATGTTCGACAGTGAACTTCGAACTTAATGCAAACCTATGGGACTCAACATTTTAAATTCAAAATGCCCATTTTGAAGGCTTATATGCAAGTTATCGGCCATAAAAGAGGTATGGGGACTCGGGTGCTACCCTTGTTTTTTTATTAGATTATAAAAAAAAAACAGCATGCCCCCCCCCCCCACCAAAACCATACCAGACTCTTTAAGTCTGGTAGGAAGGGTTTTTTAAAATAAAAGTGTGTGGGTTCCCCTTAAAAGCCATATCAGGTGCTTTACACCTGGTAGGACTTTTAAGGGAAACCCCACCCCAAAAAATGGAGGAAAAAAAGCATACCCTTATGCTGCACCCCTTTGTGAATGAGTAAGGGGTACTTGTAAAGGGTTAAACCGAGTAAAAAATAAAGATGCCAGACTTTCGAAAAATTATTTTATTGAACAAAAAACAAAACAACAGTTTTTACAAGTCCTTTATTTAAAAAAAAAAGTTAAAAAAATGGTTCCATTGTTGAATTCCATCATCAACCACAGCGTCCAGCATTGTCACAATGCCCCCGACTCACCAAAATAAAAGAAAACGACACCCGCTGACCTGTCTGCACTCACCAGGCAGTCGCTGCAATCTGACATTAGCAGGTCAGATGTAAGCAATTGGGTGTAGCTAGCAATGACATCACCGCTAGCTCTGCCCAATTGTGCTGCAATTGGCCAAAGCATTGCACCTGACCTGTGGTCAGGTGCATTGCTTTGGCCAATCACAATACACTATGAGAGCGCAGTGCATTGTGGGACATGTGGGCAAACACACGAACAGCCGATGTTCGAGTCCAACTTATGTTAGCCTCAAACATCAAGCCCATCCCTAATAGTGATTACAGAGGTGCAAATTTTAAGTTAAGGCATTAAAATGTCCTATGTAATCAGGGACTCCAAACCTTATCAAAGCAAGTGGAACAACCCAGTTTATGTGCATAAACCAATTTTTTAACGGGGTTTTACCCATTGGGAAAAGTGCAGACTGAGAGGAGACATCCAGTGAAGAAACGCCACTTTACAGACTTGAAAGAGAAGCTAATGAAGTAGAGTAAGCTTGGCAGAAGATAATGCAAGAGCCTGCAAAACTCCCAATATATATATATAGCCTTGGGGTAATTGTAACTGGGCAACTCATCAAATCATGTATAAATCTGAGAATGTGCACCCAAAATGTGTTCACAATGGGGCGAGCCCAAAGTGAGAGAAGTAGGCTTGTGACAGTGGAGTGAGGTATGCTTACTGTATAAGATAGGTTTAACTTGAACCCTCCCTTGGGCTTGGTCCAAGCTGCAAATTTAGCCTTGAAAACAGCAAAAAGTGGGTCAATATTGGAGAAAATAAATCTTTCAAAATAATCCCAAGGTACTTGGATTCATCAACTATAGGAAAGGATAAAGGTAGCTGCCTTGAAGCAGTCGATATAAAAATTGTGAATTTGGACCAATTCACCATGAGACCCAAAGTAGTATCAGGATTTAGTAAAGATATCTAGTGAGACTGCAATGAAGTACTCTTGTTGACTAGCTCTACAACTATAGGCTTTATTATGTTTACAAAATGTTTAGGAGAAGGAGGTGGCAAAAATCAGGCCATCGATTCTTATCAATTTCCATACACCCAGCACTAAAAACTGACTTTTTGTCCCTATTAAAAAGGTGCAGAAGAAAGTATAAGCAAAATAATGGAAAATTTCCTATCAAATACTTACCGTAATTTTCCTTTTCTGACGGATATCCCATAGTGAGGGAGCTCTCCATCAAGGCGGCCTTTCTGGTGGTAGTAACATCAGCAAAAAGAGTCTCCGAAATCGGGAAGCTGTAAAGAGCCGCTTTTGACATTCTTCCCGGATCGAGTGTTCCTCATCCCTATGCTAGGTTCTAATCCTAAAGTGACCTCTGTCTTCCACAAGAACCAAAAACTTGTCCAGCCAACATTTCAAGACTCGGGAGTCGATAATGCTCACTTCCTGCACGTAGGTGAGACAGTTACAGAATGCTGAAGTATATCAGAAACACACAAGACCATGTGGGGAAATAGATTATACTTTATAAAAAGATTACAAAAATATTGCATTTTAGGTTTTTTTAGAGTATATTAACCACTAGGGGACCGCCCACAGTACATATACTGCTACAAGGCGACCCCTGTGTGCAGGATCACATATATAAACGACGAGGAGGAAGGCTGCATTGTTTTCAATGGAGCTTTCCTCCCTGTCCGCTCTCAGCACACTGTTCCGAGATTGCTGGACACAGCCTTCCAGAACAGTGTGTAACAGAGAGGTACACACCCAGCCCCCTAGTGAAACACTCCCCTCACACAGTTAACCCTTTGATTGTCTCCAAAAGTTAGCCCCTTTCTCCCCAGTGCCTTTAGTACAGTGTCAGTGTTTTTTTTTTTGCACTGATCACTGTATTGGTGTCACTGGGGATGTCAGTGACCCCAAGTCAGTTCCCCCCCATGTCAGAATGTCTCCCGCAGTCCTGCAGTCCCGCCATATGTCGCTGATTGATCGCCGCCATAAGTCGCTGACTGTTGCCATAAGTCACCGATTGCCACTATTATTAGTATAAAAAAAAATCCAGTATCTATACTGCCATTTGTAAACGCTATAACTTTCACGTAAACCAATTAATTTACATGTATTGGGATTTTTTTTTAGCAAAGACATGTCGTAGAATACGTTTTGGCTAAATTTATGATGAAATTTGATTTTTAAATTTTTTTACTGGACATGTTTTTATAGCACAAAGTCCAAAATATTGTTTTTTTTTCTCAAATTGTCAGACTTTTTTTTTTATAGCGCAAAAAATAAAAAACACACAGGCGCACTGGTGCAGTGTTGCATGACCGCACAATTGTCAGTTAAAGTAACGCAGCACCGTAACACAAACCGCTTCTGTAACCGCTTCCTGACCACCCTATAGCAAAAATACTGCTACAGGGCGGCACAGGTAAGCAAAATCACATATATATACATGATTCGCACTCCTGTGGTTTTCACGCCCCTCCCAGGTGGCGTCAGATTGCCTGTCAGTACACCAGTAACCACATTTAACCCCTTGATTACCAGGAACACGCTCATACACAATAAACCTCCATTGCTAGTATAGTGTCTGAACGGATCAATATCTTTGATCAGATCAGCAATATACATGCATTTACATTAGTATAGCGTCCCCAAAAATGCAGCGTTAGCAAGATCAGCCCCAGCACCAGCCAGCACCTGCGTTTAGCCCCTACACTTACCCCCCCCCTTTCTCCCCCAGCAGGTGCAGTGCCAGTAGGTCACTGTCACTTGATACATTGCACACAAAACTGCAATGTTCTCAGAATCAGGCGTGATCTCTGTTAGCACTTGCTGGTAAATTTTGATGACTCTCATATGCAGCAGAGTGCCAGTATTAGTGTCATGCTACCTTTTGGTGAACTGGCGAGCACCAGCAGTCAAGTACATCCCGATCTTTCACATACCTCTTAGATTGTAAGCTTTCAGGATCAGGCCCCCTCCTAACCCTCTTATATTGAACTGTATTGTTGCTGTATTGTCTCCCGTTATATTGTAAAGCGCTGAGCAAACTGTTGGCGCTATATAAATCCTGTATAATAATAATAATACCAGCACTGCAGTATCACTTGGTGACGTGGTGAGTCCCATAAGTGCAGTACAAGCTGGTGCGGTGGCAAGCACAAGTAGTGTCCCGCAGCCACCAAGAATTTGCATACAGGCCCGTAGAGCCCCTAGTATCCTCCCGGATGTGCTTGCAAATCTCGATTGGCAACCCACAAATTCTGCAGCACCCCATACATTCACTGCCCAACCCGGGATTCAGGTGGAAATAGCAAATTTAACTACTCCCTTTGATTTTTTGGAGCAGTTTTTCACAGAGGATCTGTATGCATTGATTGTGGATCAAAGCATTTTATATGCACAACAATTTATCGCCACCAACCCAAATTCAAACCTTGCCAGACCATTCGCATGGAAACTCATTAGGGTTTCCAAATGTATCTTTTTTTGGGGCCTAACCCTCAACATGGGCATTACTAAAAAAATGAATTGCAGTTGTATTGGTCCTCAGGCCCAATTCCTCATATGCCGTGTTCTCTGCTGCCATGGACCCAGGCATAGATATGATAGTATAATGTGTTTTATGTATTTCAATGACAATACACTCTGTCGTCCTCGGGTGACCCTGAATTTGACCGGCTCCACAAAATTCAGCACCTCACTAATCACCTTAACCAAAAATTTGCAGATGTCTATACTCCCCACCAAAAAATCTGCGTTGATGAGTCCCTCATTAATTTTTCTGGCCGTCTTGCATTCAAACAATTTCTCCACAGCAAGCGTGCCAGATATGGGGTCAAGATGTAGAAGACCTGTGAGAGGGCAACAGGCTATACATGAAAGTTTCGGTTTTACAAGGGAAAAGATAGTCACATGGAGCCCCTCGGATGCCCAGATTATATAGGGAGCAGTGGCAAGATAGTCTGGAACTTGGTGTCTTCCTTTTTCCATATGGGGTACCGCTTATACGTGGACAATTTTTATTTAAGCATGCCACTATTTAGACATTTGTACAATCTTGGAAGTGTGACCTAATGTGTGCCCACCATCAGAAGCGGGTGGATGCAGGGCGGCATATTCTAATAGTGGGCCTACCACACATTTTTTTTTTTTGGCAGAGATTTATTCTCTTTTTTTCTCTTTTTTTTCATTCAGTCCACAGGTTGCATACAAAAAAAAGAACATAGCATATATACCCAACGAGGACCAGCAATGTACTGGTACATCACTGGACTTTGCCTGCATTTAAGGAACAGTGTAAAAATAATAAAAAAAAAATCAAAACAACGTAAACAAAAAAAAGTACCCTCGCGCCCCCGCACACGCGCGCACCTGCGTTCGTGAACGTTGACCCTGTGCCAGGAGGGCAGTAATTCTAACACTAGACCTCCTCTGTAAATCTAAAATGGTAGCTTGTAAAGGCTTTTAAACCGTTGCCTATGGATATTAAAAATGTATGCAGGTTGTTGCCATTGCACGGGGCATGCGCAGTTTTTAAAGCATGTCATGTTTGGTATCTATTTACTCGGCATACCATCATCCTTTATATTTTACCAAATAATTGGCCAATATATTGTGTTTTTGTGCATTAAAAGTTAAAAAGTAGGGGAGAGCATGCGCAGCCGGCTCCAGGATGGACGCGATCTGACAGGAGCTCCGTGCACCCGCTAGCTGTCATCTCGGCTCACCCCGATCCCAAGGTCTATAAAATACTCTGTCGGGTCTCATCAGAGAGCAGACCCTAATCAGCATAATGCCGCATTGCAGAAAGGCTGCGGGACAGCCAGGGAAGCTTACAAACTTCTTCCCTGCTGTCACAACTCACATCCTTAAACGGCCCACCACCAGCAGTCCAGCCAAATCCAGGCCCAGATTAGACACGGACCCCCTGACTGACACTCAGCTTCAGCCTCAACCTCTCCTCATGCAGATATTACCTCACACTGCTACGCCATCTCTGATAGATTTCTTCAATGCCATTGACCAACCTATCACCGAAATAAGCATGAAGAATATGCTTTTTTCTTTACGTCAAACTATACACAGCGACTTGACCTCATCAATTTCCCAGATCTCAAATGTGATAAAGCAGCAAGACCACTGACTGCGCCACGTTGAAAATAAAATGGGAGAAATGGTCGTAGCGCATAATGATCTGATCGACACACACGCACACCACAATCCGGAGATTGAAGAAATAAACCTTAAATTAGCGGACCTAGAAGACCGATACAGACGCAATAATATTAAATTCAGAGGTATACCTGAAAATATTACTAACGACGCATTGCTCCCCTACATCTATCAATACATGAAAAACCTCATTCCGTCACTCTCGGATATAGAGCTAGCCATTGATCGAGCTCACAGGATACCCAAACCATCATTCCTCCCAGCTTCAATCCCCAGAGATGTTCTGGCACGCATCCATTTTTTACCACATACAGTAAAAGAAAAATTAATGGCAGCAGCCAGGAACCCACCCCCACTCCCGCCATCATATGCAAACATCAAGCTATTTGCTGATTTGTCAAAAGCCACATTGCTCAATCGCAAAAAGCTGATTACTATAACTAAAGCACTGCGGAACCACGGAATAGGCTACCAATGGGGCTTCCCCACAAAACTGACCGTTAAACATCACGGTACAATCTACACAATCAAAACCCTAGAAGCGGGCATCGACCTCCTAAAGACCTGGAATATAATACCTGCGGAACCACAACAATCCACCTCAGCTAATACACAACAAATGGATGCTGAATGGTCCTAAATCACAACGCCCTCAATCCATCTACACCACAATGCCTTGGGCACTATAATTTTGCCACTTCAAGCTAGCGAACGGCCCCTTACCAAGTATTTGCATGTTGCAAAAGTTTTTTTGGTATGACCTCGTTTACGGTCAATACCTGTTCACACCCCCCTGTTTTACAGTAGCAAGATCCGCTACTCTTATGACTTGAATTTTTAGCAAGTTTTTCTTACCCATCCTTACCTTCCTCCTTTCCCGCACCACCAGTCGACTGATCAACTCCATCGTTCAAATGAAAATCTTACCACAACAAGGAAAACAATACTCAGTCCAACAACCGAACCACAAACGCACCACCCAAACTACGGAAAGACATCAACAACGATCACGACCTTAGAACTTTTCTCAACAAAATACAGTTGTGACCAAAATTATTCAACCCCCACTGAAATTGAGTGTTTTGGCCAGTTTGACATTGCTTTTGATCATTCAGTCATCTTGCTTACATTTACATTAAAGAGGCACTTGTAGGTCAGACAAATATAACATAACAGTTATAATGAAATAACCACAAATGTCTTTTCTGTGCTCACAGCATTATCAGTTTTATTCAACCCCCAAGTGACATTCAATCTTAGTACTTAGTACAGCATCCTTTTACAGTTATAACAGCTTTTAAACGTGAAGCATAGCTTGACACAAGTGTCTTGCAGCGATCTACGGGTATCTTCGCCCATTCTTCATGGGCAAAGGCCTCCAGTTCAGTCACATTCTTAGGCTTGCGCACTGCAACTGCTTTCTTTAAGTCCCACCAGAGGTTCTCAATCGGATTTAAGTCTGGTGACTGCGATGGCCACTCCAAAATGTTCCAGCCTTTCCTCTGCAACCATGCTCTAGTGGACTTGGAGGTATGCTTGGGATCATTGTCCTGTTGAAAGGTCCAACGTCTCCCAAGCCTCAGGTGTGTGACGGACTGCATCACGTTTCCATCCAATATCTCCTGGTACTGAAGAGAATTCATGGTACCTTGCACACGCTGAAGCTTCCCTGTACCTGCAGAAGCAAAACAGCCCCAAAGCATGATTGACCCTCCACCATGCTTCACAGTAGGCAAGGTGTTCTTTTCATCAAAGGCCTTGTTCTTCCTCCTCCAAACATAGCGTTGATCCATGGGCCCAAACAGTTCTAATTTTGTTTCATCAGTCCACAGAACACTATCCCACAACTTTTGTGGTTTGTCCACATGGCTTTTGGCATACTCTTCTTATTCTTTGGAGACAGCAAGGGGGTACGCCTGGGAGTTCTGGCACGGAGGCCTTCATTACGCAGTGTGCGTCTTATTGTCTGGGCTGAAACTTCTGTACCCACATCTGACAAATCTTTTCTCAGTTCCTCAGCAGTCACACGGGGACTTCTCTCCACTCTACGCTTCAGGTAGCGCACAGCAGTCGAAGTCAGCATCTTCTTTCTGCCACGACCAGGTAGCGTTTCAACAGTGCCCTTTGCCTTGAATTTGCGAATGATGCTTCCTAAGGTGTCTCTTGGTATGTGTTTAACATCTTTGCAATCTTCTTATAGCCATTGCCCTTCCTGTGAAGAGAAATCACCTCTTCTCTTGTCTTCCTGGACCATTCTCTTGCCTTCACCATGTTTGTAACCACACCAGTAAATGTCTAGAAGGAGCTGAGTATCACAGTCATTTTAAAGCTGCCTAATTGGTGCTTATTATGCTTGATTGCTGCTCGGTGACATCCACAGGTGTTTTCAATACCTGATGGAAAGCACCTGTATGAACCTCTGTTCTTCAGAGTGGTAGTCTTTAAGGGTTGAATAATTGTGGCAATGAAGAAACCACATAAGAACCATTTACTACTGTATTACATAAACAATTGATGTCATTTTAGTTGCATTTGGGTAGTTACAACGTCCTTGTAGGATTTGATTCTGAATACAATTCCAAATGTACACTATAGTCCCTAAACCCCTTTACAGCATTGGGGGTTGAATAATTTTGGTCACAACTGTACGAAAACAACTCTCCTACTCAGGTAACTCATATACTAACCCACAAAATGATTAAAATATCCTCTCTTAATGTACATGGCCTCAAAAGATCACTGCTCCAAAAAAGAGTCCCGTTCACTCCACACGGATGTACTCCTCCTACAGGAAACCTACTTCGCATCAATCAAGACCCCCAAGTTTCATATCCATGGATACTCACATGTATACATGGCAACAAATCCCCCCAAAAAATGGAGTCATTACAGCCATAAAGGTTTCTGTTCAATTCCTTCACATCTCTGAAATAGCAGACCCTCAAGGTCGATGTCACATCCTGATCTGCAAAATCAACAACATCCCCTATACATTGGTTAATGTATACGGTCCCAACAACAACCAAATTCAATTTTATAACAAACTCCAATCAACTATCTCCTCTCATAAGCAAGGTAGACTTATTATGGGTGGAGACTTTAACGTTATTGGTAACCCACTT